GTCTCTGTTGTAACTTCTCAACTCTGCTATTGTACCAAGATAGCAACTATAGATGATATATAAACAAATGGGAGTGGCTGTATTTCAATAAAACTTTATGGACATTGAAATTTGAATTTTATATCATTTTGATATCATGTACTATTGTTCTTTTAAAAAATATTTTAAAATGTGAAAACCATTCTTAGCTCATGAGCTATATAAAAAACAGGTGGTAGGCAGGATTTGGCCTGCTACCTATAGTTTGCTGACCCTGGGTCGATAATAGTAATAAGGAAGATGGACAGTGTGAGAGGTAAGAAAAGGGGGTCTATTTAATGGATAGTTTGAGGACACTAGAGATGCTACATATCTATAATCATTGTTTTAAAAATTTAAGGATAACCACTGAAATATTGGGAATACCATCTGTAACTTTAAATCCAGCAAAGGGAAAAAAGTGAAATAAAGACTACTTATAAATGCCATAGAAAGTAAAAAATAAGATAAAATTACAAAACACAGTAAAACACACCACAAAAGGAATTGGTATTAGTAAGCCTGAATATATTAGGATGAATGTAAGTGGATTAGATGCACCTAAAAAGGGTAATATGATTTCATTTTTTTAAAAAAGCCAGCTATATCTGTTTATAAAATACTTAAAAGGACATAGATAGGTTGAAAATAAAAAAAAATATGGAAAGGTGTATACAAACACTAAACAAAAGAAAACTAATAATAACATTAGGCACCATGCAATTTAAGGGGAAATCACTAATTTCTATTATAGTATTAATGAAAATAAAGAGGAATATTATATAATAAGAAAAATAGCTTGCACCAGTAGATAAAATAATCATAAATTCATATGCACTTAACAACATAGCCCAGAAAAACTAACATTATAAAGAGAAATATATAATCACAATGGGTGATTTTAATAGTTCTGTCTCAAATGTACCAAGCAAAGCAAAAGTTTATGCCAACTTTTTTGCCCCTACAGAATATATATATAATATATATACAAATGGAACATATATAGAAAATGCTTGAGACTCACAAAGTAAGCCTTATGCATTTCTAAGATCAAATCTAATGAAATCACATTTCCTAACAACAATGCAATTATATTAGAACTCATAAAAGTAGTAGCAAAAAACAACCCATATACAGTGTGTCCCCCCCAAAATGTATACATACTTTAAAGGCTGGTAGCTCAATTTTGAAAATGAAATTTATTTTAATAAACACTGCCTTTATAATTATACAAAGTGTGTATACATTTCTTGGGAAACCCTATACTTGGAAACTAAAATATACTCTTAAAGAATTCATTGTGTTAAGCAAGAAATCAAAACGATTGCAAAATATGAGAATTGAACAACAAAGTAGTACATTTCAAAACATGAGGGCATAATTATTATACAGTGTGTAAACAAGGAAAGCAACTAGAAGGAAGGAAATAATTAAGGATAATAACAGAAGTTAATAACATAATGCAAGTCTACAAACACAGAAATAATAGAAGCAATTAGCACAATAAGCATTTATTTCTAGGGAGAGAAAGAAAAAAAGGCAACTGAAGAAAACACAGAGAAGACAAAAATAAACAATATAAGGACTGAAAAAAGTGGGCATACCTAATATTTAGTAAAGAAAAAAGATCAGTATAGAAAACTGAATAACTTGAAGCCAGAACATTGGGATGCAAAAAGAATAGACATTTTTTAGAAGAATCAATTATCAAATTAGTCTCAAAAAGAAATAGGGCCTAGCCGGCGTCGCTCAGTAGTTGAGCATTGACCCAGGAAGTCAGGGTTCAATTCCCAATCAGGGCACATGCCCAAGTTGTGGGCTCGATCCCCAGTGTGGGGCGTGCAGGAGGCAGCTGATCCACGATTCTCTCTCATCATTGATGTTTCTATCTCTCTCTCCCTCTCCCTCTCCCTCTCCCTTCCTCTCTGGAATCAATAAAAAATTATTTTAAAAAGGAAAAGAAGAGAAAAGAAATAGAAAACAAAGTGCACCACTGGCCATTAAAGATACTACTGATTACATATATCAGCATGAAGAGATCTCACATATTTATTGTTATTTATCTAATTTAAAAATAAATTACAGATTGTCACATAGAGTATTGTACTAGTTAGATCTGTTTTTAAGATTAATATGTTATTTTGAGTATGTATCTACTTAAGAAAAATATAAAGGCATAACTTGGATCCACACCAAATTTGTGACAGAGGTTGCCTGCAGAGAGGAGGAGGAAAGGAGCAAAATGAGGCCAAAAGGGAAAATCTGGCATAAATTAACTTTTTTTCTGTAATGATTAATTTTTTAAAAAAGATCCGAGAAAACTGTTAAAAGATAATTTTCAAAACACTATGAAATCCTGGTTCTCATATAGATATTATATGAATGCATGTTATTTTGAACCTAATCCATGAGTGAGCTAGGCAAGTGTTCTATTAGGTTCAAAAGAGAATCCATGAACTGACACATTTTAGATCAGGAATATTGACATGTGTGTAAGATTGTTTCCCAGGGTAAAAGGAAGAGACAGGATTGATGTGGCTATGACAAGAATAATTTTGCATTGCAATTAGTTATCTACAAAATATAGGCTCGTACAATAGCTCCCATAGAATGAGAGTGTGATTACCCTGATCGGCACCCTCCAGAGTCTAGAGACAATATAGGTCCATCAATGCACAGCTTTTTCTCTACACAACCATGACCAAATGTTAATATTGCTCTTTTTAGTTTCTAGGTACATGTGTTTTTGTTATATTATTTTCTGTGCTTTATTTAAAAACAATTCAGTGTTTAAAATTTAAAATATTATTTTCTTACCACTGTCCCCCTCCCTCCCCCCAGGTCCCAACTCCAAAGATTCTGATTCTGTAGGTCTAGAGATAGGTGTAGGGATTTGTAATTTTTAAAATTATCCCGGGTTATTCTGTTGTGCATCCAGGTTGGGCACCTCTCCCTAGGTTCTAAGATTCATGATTTGTGCCCTTGTTCTGTGGTTTAGAAACAGAAGTGGGGTTAAGGACTGGGTTAGGTAAGGGCTAATGAGAGAAATGCTCACAGCCTTGCCCTGGAGAAGAAAGATCCAGCAGCGCATCCTGTACCCAGACAGGCAGGATGCGTATATCAGGAGCCAGGTATTTTTATAGATGAATTTACCACTCTCATGGAGCAGAATTAGAACAACAGTCATATAGTACAATGTCTGGGCAGGTCTATCAATTGCTCTGAACCTTTTCTCTCATTTTAAGAAAAGATCATAATCTGTGTCCTGCCTACCACAAAGGGCTACTAGGAGAAGGTATTTGGAGTTGCTTTATGACTTGTAAAGAGATATGCAACTGAAAATATTACAGTGATGCTTATTCAGAATGGTCATAACTTCATATATATATATAATTGATTTCAGAGAGGAAGGGAGAGAGATTGAAATGTCACTGATGAGAGAGAATCATTAATTGGCTGCCTCCTGCACGCCCCCTACTGGGGATTGAGCCCACAACCCAGGCATGTGCCCTTGACTGGAATCAAACCCGGGACCCTTCAGTCCACAGGCTGATGCTCTATCCATTGAGCAAAACCAGCTAGGGCCATAGTGGTCATAACTTTGACAAACCAGTTGTATATATCAGAGTAGAGATTGTACTATAATTTTTTTGAGGCAAAAGGGTTAAAGGAAAAAAAGAGGCTCTTTCTGTCAGCACAGAAATGTATTTGAAAAAAACTAGCAAAACCCATGAGTCATAAAGTGACCTGTGATAGTAGGTCTGATGAACTTAGGGACCCAATGATGCAAACAAGACAGTAATTTCTGTCGAAATAGAGTGAGGGTCAGTGAGCCCCAGATGGAAAAGCTCTCACTTGATAGGAGTTGCTCAAGAGTAGAATGGGATCAAATTGTTTAAACAGGGGATTCTGTGATTGCTTTGCAGGTTAGGCTGACCCAAAAGTTCTTATGAGAAGAAACAAGTAAAATCCTCAAAAAACAGACGGTACTCACTGAACTCATCTCTGTGACCTCTCATTTTCTTTCTCTGTGTTTATTGGAATCCTACTTCATTCCTCTGTGGATCTTTGCCCACTGTAATTCACAACTCTTTCGCACTCTTCTGAACTCCAAGCAGCACCTCTGGTCTCCATCACTCATATGGTTTTTGGCTCATATTTTATGATATCACTGTTGTGGATGACCTGCCAGTCCTTTTACCTATTTTTTCGCTTTCTCCTTAGATGATAAGCACCCTAACAGTGCTGTGTACATCTTAGGATTTTCCATATCCTCAGCCCAGTATTTTTATACAAAGGATTGTATACTCTGGCAACCTCTCTAAATTATGTGAACCATTGACGGAGACTCCAGAAACGCTGAATCCTGTATTGGAAGAGGATGAGACGTACTGTTTTTGTAAGGTTTATGGCAAAGATTAATTTTAGGAATTCACTTGATCTTTGTTATTTAAAAAAAAAAATCTTGTCACTGATATCAAGAGCAACTAAAGCCAGAGATTTGAGCACAGCCAGGACTTTGCCTCTGTGTCTCTCCTCTGAGCTAGTGTATTTTTGGGATCCATATTCTTCATCTTCATAGCAGACAATTCTCTTTCACATGATCAGAAACCTGATTATCAAAAGCTGCTGGAATTTATAACTTCCATCAAAGAGAAGGGATTGACATTTCTTTTTCTTTCTCAAGTTCACAGTTTCTGGGATAAGTCTTTAATTGGTTCAGTTTGGGTCAGGTGATTGTGTCTCTACACCAATCTACCTTCTTTGGAGTGAAGGTACAGTCACATTAAAACATGGCTTCTCCCATCTGAACTTAGTGATTAGAGAGGGAGGAGAAACAATTTCCAAGAGAAGGGTGGAGGGTATTGTTTTTCAAAAGATAAACAACGGATGTCAATCATACTTTCAAATTTCATATCCAGCCCCCTTATTGTTAACTTACATGTCTTTCTGTTTTCTGCCTGTGTCTTTTTCATCCTTAGACTACCTTCTTGCTCAATGGAATACTACGCTTTGAGGCTCTTCTTCCAAAAAGATCACCCTGCCTCCATCCTCTGGTATCAATTACTTTTGTACAAGAATTTCCATTAAATGATGTATCATAATGCCATGGTATTGTCATTATAATTAGGAGACTTACATTTAGGTCCTTATCCTGAGATTTGCTAGCTATATGACTATGCAAATTCCCTAACTTCTCTGGGCTTCAGTTTCCCCTTCTGTAATAGTACCCATGCCACATATACATTTTAACATTTAAGTGAAATAATGCGTTAGAATTACTTTGTAAATTACTCTAGAGATAGAAGGTATTTTTATACCTCTGCCCATGGTGCAGAAAAGGTGTTTGATACAGAGGCTCACCCTGGGACAAGTGGTAAGACATTTCTGGAGTCAAGTATCACTGGCCTTAAATCCAGGCTCACAGCATTGGGCCCAAGGGGTACCACTGCCATCTCCATCATGGTACAGACAATGTTAGCCTCACTGGATTAAGAAATAGTGGCATGCTAATGGGTAATGAGTGCATGAAAAGACACTCAACAACATTAGCTATTAAGGAAATGTAAGTATAAGCTGCAATGATATACCACTTTACACCTACTAGCCTGGCTATAATGAAAAAGACAAACAATAACAAGTGCTGACAAGGATGTGTTGACACAGGGACCCTCATATATTGTTGACTGAAATGTAAAATGGTCCAGCCACTTGAGCAACACTGTGTAAGTTATCCAAAAAGGTAATCATAGAGTTACTATATGAACCAGCAATTCTACTCCTATGGCTCTACCCAAGAGAAATGAAAATGAACAAAAACTTATACCTTAATGTTCATAGGAGCATTATTCTCAATAGCTAAAAAGTAGAAACATTGTCAACATCAGTAGACATTGATGAATGGGTAAACAAATATGTTATATTCACACAATGGAATATTATTCTGCAGTAAAAAGGAATATGAACGCATGCTCCAACATGGACACACCTTGATAACATGCTAAGTGAAAGGAGCCAGTCTACATATGGTATGATTCCATTTATATTAAAGGTCCAAATCTTTAGAGACAGAAAGTAGACTAGTAGTTGTCTAGAGCTTCTATGTGGGAGGGAGATGGGGAGTGACTCTTAGTGGATACTAAGGCTCCTTTGGGGATGATGAAATGTTCTAAAATTTGATTATGGTGATGGTTGCATAACTCTGGAAGTGTTCTAAAACCACTTTAAATGGGTCAGGTGTGACCCATTTGGTATTAACATTATTTCAATAACACTATTTTAATATATTTTATTGATTTCTTACAGAGAGGAAGGGAGATAGATAGAGAATCAGAAACATCGATGAGAGAGAAACATCAATCAGCTGCCTCCCGCACATCTCCCACCGGGGAGGTGCCCGCAACCACGGTACATGCCCTTGACCGGAATCGAACTCGGGACCCCTCAGTCCTCAGGCCGACACTCTCTCCACCGAGCCAAACCGGTTTCGGCTCAATAACACTATTTTAAAAACACAAAAGGATCAACATTTTTTTTTCAATGCCCAAAAATTATTTTAAATTGGCTTCCAGATAATTTAGATATGTAAGTTATTATTTTTCTTTCTTTATTGATTAAGGTATTACATATGTGTCCATATCCCCCCATTCTACTCCTGCTCATGCCCTCACCCCTCTGGTGTCTGTGTCCATTGGTTAGGCTTATATGCATGCATATAAGACCTTTGGTTGATCTCTCCCCCTTACTCCCACCCTCCCCTATCTTCCCTCTGAGGTTTGAGCATCCGATCAATGCTTCTCTATCTCTGGATCTGTTTTTATTCATCAGTTTATGTTGTTCATCATATTCCACAAATGAGTGATATCATGTGATGTTTATCTTTCTCTGACTGACTTATTTTGCTTAGCATAATGCTCTCCAGGACCATCCATGCTGTTGCAAATGGTAGAAGTTCCTTCCTTTTTACAGCAGCGTAGTATTCCATTGTGTAGATGTACCACAGTTTCTTAATCCACACATCTGCTGATGGGCACTTAGGCTGTTCCCAAATCTTAGCTATTGTAAATTGTGCTGCTATGAACATAGGGGTGCATATTTCCTTTCTGGTTGGTGTTTCTAGTTTCTTGGGCTTTATTCCTAGAAGTGGGATCACTGGGTCAAATGGGAGTTCCATTTTTAGTTTTTTGAGAAAACAGGATCAACATTCTTGCAAAGAACTAAAAACAAAGCTGAAGTTGGGCCTTGTGCCAACAAGCAGGGACAGTAGTGATGCTCAGGAGTAAAGTCCAGACAGAAACACTCAAATTCAGAGAAGGAACCTCCGGTCTCTCCGTAGGAGTGCGGCGGGAACTCTTCCACAAATATCCATTCTTTTGTTCCATGCTTTGCTCAGCTTGACATCTTCTTCCCTGTTGCTCATCTAGTGAATTCCTATTTGTCCTTTAAGAATCATCTCAGCTGTCCAATCTCTGTGAATTCTTTCTAACAACCTCTCTTCCAGACAATGGCAACAGCTTCCTCCCTATCCATTCCCATAGCCTCTCACACATACTACTGTTAGGGTGTTGATCTGTTCCTCTATGATTTCTACAGGTACATCTCCATATTAGGTTCTGATCTCCTCAATGGCACAAGCAATTTCTTTATTATTTTAATATTCCCAGCACCTGACATGAAGACTGATTCAAGTAGATGCTCAATAAACGTTTGATAAATGGACCAAAAAAGGGCAGGTGTCCCAGAAGTAGCTGAAACACTAGATCAAGATTTAGACCAGAACTCAGGAACAAAGGTAAAAGCCAAAATCCCACTGGGAAAGCTGTGTGGGAAGCTGACTGTCAATACAATGGCTATGTATGGAGTGGGCAAGGGTGACTCAAAGAATAAAGAGGGACTCCTGTGACAAGCATTGCAGGAAGTTGGGTGGGCTCAATCATGGGCAGCTGCAGATGGCATAGTTAAAATATATGAGGTGGGCACTATTGGCTTCTATTATTACCTGGTTGTTTGTTGCTTTATTCAATTAAATTATAAAGTTGTTAAGGGCAGGACTATAATTTCTTCTTTTACGCGTTTCACAATATCCACAAATGTTTGTTAAATGAACTAACTTTACCCTAAACATCTTCTCCTGAAACAGAGTGAATATTATATTTTTCTTTTCGCTGATTCATTATCTAACTCTTTCAAAAATAAAACAGCCTAGCCAGCGTGACTCAGTGGTTGAGCATTAACCGATGAACCAGGAGGTCATGGTTCAATTCCTGGTCAGGGCACGTGCCTGGGTTGTGGGCTCGATCCCCAGTGTGGGGTGTACAAGAGGCAGCCCATCAGTGAGTCTCTCACATCACTGATGTTTCTATCTCTCCCTCTCCCTTCCTCTCTAAAATCAATAAAAAATGTATCAAATAAATAAATAAATAACATAAAACAAAGGAAAGTGATTCTCTTCCAATTTGAGATAAATACTGTTGGTTTGGGGGAAGATATATATTGTTGAAGAACTAACTCAAATTGTTATAGTAAGTGAAGGGAAAAACAGTGCCTCTATTGTAGCAACAAGACATATACATTTATTTATTATGGCTTATCTTTCCACATTAACACGTAAGCTCTGTGAGAGCCAAGGTTTTTATCTGTTTGGCTTGCTGAGGTATCCTGAGCATTTGAACAGTTTCTGGCATGTAACAGGCACTTCATAAATAAATATTTGCTGATAGAGGGAGACAGGTAAAGAGGAAGGGAAGGACTGAGGGAAAGACTTTTATGAATGGAAATGTGTAAGCACCAGGAATTAGTGCTGGATCAATCTTAGTTGTTATAAGTGATCTGAAAGAATGCCTGCTAGGATGAGATTTTCTGCAAAGCTCTCTGTATAATGACATACTGAGGCAATAAGAATAAATTGAAAAAGGAAATAACTTAGCCATATGAGTGGGCAGAAAAATGGCAAATAAGCTCCATGTAGACTGATGTAAGATGATAACACATTATGGGGAAATGGTACAAATGTGCCTATAAGATAATGGTTTCTAACTATCAGATCTGAACCAGGAGAGACTCTGAACAGTCATTGAATGCAACCTACTTTATGCCCAGGGGTTGCTCTTCAACTTCAATGCAGTGAAAGGAATAAGTTCCACATTATTTTAATCATGCATCTCAGGACTTGGGTGAAAAATGTCTGTAGAAAGTAAATAAATTTTTTGTAATGGTTATGTCATAATTTTCTCTCTACTCTATGTCCTCCATTGTAGCCTGTTGTCTGCGGATGTTGGCCTATATATATATATTTTTTTTTTGCCAAAAAGGCAGGTATAACCTTAATTCAGTTGACACAGTTAGGGTCCTGCGCTGCAGGAAGGGCTTCCCCAGCTCTTGCTAAGGTAGGCTCAGCTGCTTTGAATAAGATGGACCCCCATACCCTCCTGGCTATTAGCTAGAATCTGAGCAGCATTTACTGTCCACATTTTTTTTGCCCTTCTGCCCTGTATAAATCTAATTTACTCAAAGTTGGCTTGAGTAGGTTTCCACTATTTCAGTCAAAGAAACACCAGGTGTCACCAGGAAATGTATTTCTGGAGGGAAAAAAATATATTTCCTATCCCATCCTGCATAAAACCCAATGCAAATCCATCCAACTGGTAAAGAGGCTTGGAAGCAGGTGCTGGGAAGGACTGAGTAGTTTACCCAGGTTGGAAGCAGTCCTAACGCACATGTACCTTGGCCTCTATCTGGAGAGCCTTTGTTCATTATTCCGTTGGGACATAGTGAGGTCTGAGGAGTACTCTTAGCCAGCTCCTCAAGCATTGCTATCTAATTTCCAGTGTGAAAAATAGAGTTAATTTTGGGTCAACAGACTATAATCTCCAAATCTAGGCCTTTTTATAATTTTACTGTTGTTTTCTATTCTCCAGAGAAATCGAACAAATTGGATCTATCAATCAATCTATCTATCTATCTATCTATCTATCTATCTATCTATCTATATCATCTAGAGAGATTTATTAGGCGGTATTGTCTCATCTGATAATGGAGGCTGAGAAATTCCATGATCTGCCATCTATAAGCTAGAGATCCAGCAAAGCCAATAATGTCGTTCCAAGGCCCGAGAGCCAGAGAACTGATGATGTAGATTCCATCGCTGACTGACAGCCTGAGAACCAGGAGCTCAGAGGGCTCATAGAAGATCTGTGTTCCAGGCAGAGAGTGAATTCAGCCTTCCTCTACCTTTTTATTCTGGTCAGGCCCTCATGGATGGGATGATGCTCACCCATCATGGGGATGACCATCTACACTTCTCAGTCCACCAACTCAAATACTGATCTCTTCTGAAAACACCTTCTGAGACACACCCATAAATAATGTTTAATTAGTTGACTGGGCATCCCTTGGCTCAGTCAAGTTGATACATAAAATTAACCATAATAGTTTTCCTGGTAAATATTTATTTTGGAAAAAAAATCAAAACACCATAATTCATTTTAATTTAGTTCCAGTCTGTACACCTCATGAATGACTATATAGAACTGAAGACTAAAGAAATTGATGGTCTCCCACACTGGGTTAATTTTATTTTAAAGCAGGATTGTAACATGAAGAGGCAAGTATTAAAAGGGTTTATTATTGAAACAAATAAGTTAATAAATGAATATGTATTTTATATTGTTTATCTTATTTAATTCTCCTAACAATACCCTAAGAGAAATACTATTATTATCCCCTTTCAAATATGAGAGGTAAAGTAATTTGCCTAAGATCCCATAGTGGCAAAGCTGGGGTTTGATTCTAGCCAATCTGGCACCAGTTTATGATCTTAACCACCACACTAGATGGTCTCTGTTTATATTAAAATTAAACTCAACTCTTGGAATACTTATAAAACGTATAGAACTCTTTATACCCAGATGTGGCAATGGCTGCAAATATAAATAAGCATGAGTGCTAATTTATGAATGTTAAATGCATAATGTCACATGAAAGGACAATGGGAAAATTGGAGGGTATCAACTTGTAGGTGCCGACGAATGGGGGCAACCATAAAGTCTCCCCAAACTCTGCCTAAGAAACTCTGCTTCAGACAAACCAGAGGGGCATGTGGAAGCCAACCTTAATCCAGTACAAAAAGTCTAATGCTCCCATTGTGTCATAATAGCCACAGAAAGAATGTGCTCAAGGTCTTTAAGGGTCCTCCTGCAGGTGGCCACTCCCTTTGCTGCTGAT